GAAGGGCCTTTCAAAGACTTAAGACTTCAAAATTTCCTTCTACTCATATGTTTTCTACTCATATGTATGAATTTTGGCAGGCAAAATTTTCATGGACTAAAATCAAAGGGAGAAATAGTGAAAAAAATTTAAAAACAACAAAAACCCCAGATATTTCAAGCAGAATGAAGAGCTGCCAATTGAGCCCTTTACTTAGAAAGAAAAATATGGGAATGTGGTATTCTTAGAATTTACCACCATCTGAGAATCTCATATCTGTTGATCAAACCAATAGGTTCATCGTTAGAAAATGAAGAATCTGAGCTTTCTCTCCACCTTGAGAATAATCCCCTGAATAAACACAGCTCACACTGCAGTCAGACACCAACTGAAAGAAAGAGGCATCTTTTAATAATGGAGGCATGTGGAACTGGACAACTTCAGTGGATAGGGATAAACTGAGAAGGAAAATTGTTTAATTTCAGAGAAGACATGGAGCTACTCTCTGAGCTGACCCAGGTTGTCTCAGATGATGAGTGGCTATGGAGGTGACAAAGCTTTATTGGTGTGAAACAAATATAGAGAAAATAAGCTTCACTTGCTTTTAGTGAAAAAAAAAAAAAGGGTGTTTAGTGAATTTCCTCCTGAAGATTGGAGCAAGTAGCCTTTTGTGTTTCCTAAATACATCACTTACAAGAGATAAGGACTCCAGAGTCATCTTATGCTGTGCCCTCTAAATAATGCTAAATGAAGGGCTGAAGAAATCATACTACCCAGTAATGCTTTAATGTAATGCTTTACTTTTTGGTGGCTCAGCAGTAAAGAATCCGTCTGCCAATGCAGAAGATACAGGTTTGATCCCTGGGTCAGAAAGATTCAGTGGAGAAGGAAATGGCAACCCACTCCAGTATTCTTGCCTGGGAAATAAGATGGACAGAGGAGCCTGGAGGACTATAGTTCATGGGGTTGCAAAGAGTTGGACACAACTGAATAACTAATCAACAATTCTTGCATATCTGATCATCCTGGACAAAGTCCCTTCTGCTCAAGAACAGTCTTAGTATTAAGCCTTGTCACTTGATAGGGAATTAAGGGCACCACATCTGAACAGTGAACTTGTTTTTATTTAAGCACTATGGAAACCCATAGGAACTTTCAGTATTAGTACCAAGCAGGTTTGTGTGTGACTTGGCCATAATACAAGAGGTCTGCTGGAAAAGTTAAGATGATACCTTTCATCTGTGTGAAAACTTAAACATTAAAGAAAGATGATTTAATTTCATGTTACCCTTAGACTTTCTTCTCCAAGGTTGTTCAAAATATTCCAAGTAAGTATGGGAAAAAATATATAAATCTATTCAAGGATACTACAGATTCCTGGCACTGCTAACCAGATGAACAAAATAAATTACACTTTGAATCATATAAAAAGAGAAAAATAAACAGTATATTTGGGGGTAATACTATTGCTGATTTAATAACACTACAGATATATTCCTTTTGTTGCTGTTGTTGTTAACTTTCCAAAATATAGGAAATGGGAATTGGTAGGTGTTTACAATTTGAAGTCAAATGTATCAGAAAAAGGATGAGTTAAACATCTTTTCTTGAAATAATGCATTTATGGGGTTTGACACAAAGAATAGCTAAGATTCTACAACTCAGAAGAATCAAAAGAGATACTGCAGTAACACAAAATTGACTTTTAATGTTTGTTTACCAGTTCATTGTATCTTACAGAAAATGAAAACATTTTTTTTTTTTTGTAATACAGATATGGTTCTTCTCCTCAGATTTGTACTCAGTAGGTATTAAATGCCTTTAAATACTGACTTCCTTTTAATCAGGTGGCTTAATAATGACTTATATTTTTCATTTCTTTCATTGTACATCATTGCTGTGCTGGCAGTAGTGAGCTACGGTACAGTTAACTTCTCAACACAACTATGTCATTTATCCACTGATCATTCTTTATGTATTCTATGTTGAGAATGAATAAGTAATTCCCTTTTCATCCTTCCCTCCTTAGTGGTCAACTACTCCTTGAGACCACCGTATTCTTTGGAGCACTGAAATCAAGAAACCCAGTATGGCTGCCAGCAACCAAATTGGAATCTCCTTTGAGACTACTTCTAATTGCCAAAATAATAAGCGACTATATAATTGCATAAAATAAAACTTTAATAGGTACCGGCCCCCTTTCTATGAGAGAAAGTTTAAATTTACAAATACCATATTTGACTAGAAATTACTGTGATAAAACATGGCAGCAGTTGGTAAAAGATGGCTTCCAGTGTTAATGTAACTAACTTGTTTTCATTCGTATATTGCCTTTTATATGAATCATTTCTTTTTGTCTGTTTTTTCAAATGTAGGCTTGTCAGTGAAATATGCAGATATATTTTGTTCCTTAAATGGGCCAAGTGTTAATTATGAACAAAATGATCAAAACAAGATTTCCTAACCAGACTCCCATCTCATCCCTCTGTTGTTCTTAGTACCCAAGTCTGAGGAGCAATTGTTGAGTTAGTCAGTGTTAGCTAGTGTTGTACCAACTTTCCGTTAGGAATGGTGTTAGTATAACCTTTTTTTTTCAGACATTCTCAGTGAAATACCTTGAGGAATGAAATAGGAAAATAGATATTTGGTGAAAATGGCAAAACAAGAACATTAAAAGAAACTCTTATTCAAGGAGGAGTCCAAAAGGGTATGGGAATTCTGATCTTTTGAGGGAAGTCAGAAGATAAAAATTCTGCCCAGCAGTATTCGTTCTGTTAAGATTTTTTTTTTTTTTAACAAGCATGGAAAAATGGTGTGCAGTCAGTCTAGATTTTAGTCAGCTAACAGTCACTCCAAAGATTTTTATCAGCACCAATTCCTATACTAGTAAGTATTCAAAAGTTAAGAAATGCTACTATGCTTAATATTATAAAGGTAGAGTTTTGCAGCAGTAACTGGAGTTTGTATATCTGCTTCAATAGAAATTTTTTTTTCCACTTGTACTTCCAATAAGATTCTTATAACGTGGGTAATAATCATTCAAGTATGGATTTCCTCCAGTGAGCTGACCCCCACTTTTGAGGTACTAGAGTCACTGTTTCAGAGATAGTCCCTCTTTAAATAATATATTCATCTTATCTTAGACCATTCAGGTATTTTTAATTTAAGAGTTTGAATTCTATTTGTATCAGCAGTGTTTGAGTTAAACTTCATAATCTCTTTGGATTTATATTTTTGTACAATTTGCATATCCAACCTACTGTAAAAATGTGCATGCATACATTCTCATCTTTTAATAGTAAAGCATCTGAAAATTTCCAGATATGCTTTTGACAGAAGAAATGATCTATTTTTATTTACAATATTCTGTCTAGATAATATATGAGTATAGTTATGGTTTCATGGACTTCCAATTGTCCTATACCTTCCACACAAATAACTCTACATCTATAGAGTAAATTTATTAGAATTATTACAGAGCTTTGAAGGCAACCACAATCAATTCAGGAAACAGATTTATTTACTCATGTTCATGGGAGGAAAATCTACATAAAAACATTCATGAAAGCATATCAGCTATGTCATACTTGGATTATTATACTAAATCCCATTTATTAGAACTCATTGTGAAACAATGGGAAACCATGAAATGTAATTTGAATACAAATATTGGTCCCTGTGGGGTTTCAACACTCATAAAAATATAGGAAAACCGAGCTTTATTTAAGATTGGAGCTGCTAATGGGGAAAGTTGTTTTTTGGAGCTGGTCTTACCCTTTCATATAAAGCCCTGAAGATTTTAGTGTAAACTCTTTGACAGCTTCAGCATTTCATTTAAGCCTGATGATGATCAGCAAGAAAGTGATATCCATCACTGTTCACATTTTCTATATGGAGAAAGGTTAAAACTACTTTGTTGACTTTTTTACCCAAACACAGGCACCAGTTGGACTTTCTAGTCTTATACAAATAGGAATAATAAGAGTTCTGAAAGTTGGGTTCTTATATCTTGGTTAGGCAAGTATAGTTATTTATTCCTTCTATGATTTAAATTTTTGTCATGTCATGTAAATAAGAAGGAAGTATTAAATATTTTAAAGTTAATTTTATAGGACAATAACAATTCATAGGCTAACATAAAATCAAGCTGCTAAATTTTACAATTTTTCTGTCCAGCAGTTTATCTATATAACTGCCCTGAGTAGATGCTAAATGCTGCTTAGCAAACGGCCCTTAGAATTTAAATATATTTCAGTAAAGCTACTCAAAAGAAAACAGTTCTTCTCAGGCATGTATAATTTTAATTAGAAGAAGGTAGGAATCTCTCATTGGTTAAATATGATCTGCTTATTTTAGTTTCATACTTCATATAAATGGGAGTCTAAAGGGGTTTTAACTGTGCTTGTTATACATTGGAGTTCATCTGATTTTTTTTTTTTGGTCAAAAAGGCAGGATTTTAAAGAGTAAAATATTCTGACTATCGGAGGTCTGAAATATTTTAGAAAAGTGTAGATTGTTCCCTTGTGAAACTAAGTGTTGTGCAACCTCTCAGAACCTCAGTTTATGTAAAGAAGCCTATATTTCAAATCTGTTGCTCTAATCTGTTTATTGTAGTGCATTTCAAAACTGTACAAACATGTAAAATTTGTGCTTGTGGCAGCTGCTGCTCTGAGTAGCTTTACTTTCCTTAATTTAATCCTAGCAATCCTCAAGCTATTGCATGCCCCGATCATGAGAGGATACTTCATTGGGATGATGTAGCCTAAACAGTTTGGCTCTAAAACCTCCATATGTAGTGCTTCCCTTAAAATTATATTAATTTATAATATATATTGAATGATAATAGCTTTACAAAAACAAATTAATGAATTGGTCTTTATGAAAATGACTCTTTACAGTAAGTAAAAAAGGGTTATCACAGTTTTGGTAACTTGCATGAGTTCATATTGGAAAAAAAAATAAAACCTTTCACTTCACATGTTCTTAATGACTTTCAAACTGCCGTGCTTTAGGGGCACGTTCAGTTGTATGCTCTGAAGCAGTAGACACCATACAGCTTATGCTTTTTATCTGGGAAACCCACAAAGCGCACCGCAGCCTCGCTAGGACTGCAGCGCCTTCTTGGCCTAGAGATGGGGTAGCGGACACTGCCGTCCGCCAACCAGCCTGCATCGCAACGGTCATATCCCAGAAGTTTCCAGGCAGCGAATATCTGGCCCACTTTAGCAATCTGAGCACCATCATTGAGACAAGCCTGCACCGCTTCGTCGTAGGTCAGCTTGGTGGGGTGGATCAGGTAGTAAAATCGGCCTGCAGAGAGAAGGAAAGAGGGTCAGTGGGCCTGTCTGCAGCTCAGCCCAAGAGAGACGGAAAGAGCCCCAAATGGAAGTGTTTCTCAAGGCAGGGGGACATAAAGCAGTGTCTGTACAGTTTCTGAAACATAGGCTAGTCAGTTAAAGCCGTAACCCCAGATCTCTCGCCATTAAATTAGTTTTTTCCTTGCCCCTCAATGTGTGTTCAGACATGCCCTTTTAGAGCAGTGAAAAAGAAAAGAGAAATGATAGATGCAGTCTCTGTTAGCCAATTAGTGGCTAAAAGGGCCCTTCTGTAGCATTAGAGAAGACAGAATTCCATGTTAAAAGCAAGAGCTATTTAAATTCTAGCTGTAGCAAGACTGAAGCCCAGCACAAGTTTCTGGAGAGGCAAAATTTGAATGTGAAAAGGATCAAAAAACATTCCTGACAGAAAAGTCCATTTAAAAAAAATCAAAAGCCCTCAAGTCCTTTTCATTACAGGTATCAATAAGGCATTATTCTTATTCAAAGACTACAGTATGAAAATGCAAAACATACAGGAAGTCACTTGCCATAAATAGTATGGACTTAGAATGTGAACCCAGTCTGTTCACTCACTAGCAGCGAGGAAGAAGTTAGTTGTTTTTTCCAACTTCCCTCTGTGGGAGCTCTGACACCTAACGGTTTCTTGATTTCACAAAAAAAGAGCAAGTTAGCTCAACCACTTACCTCAGTAGTGTTCATTACCTAGATTCCTTCAATTTGTGCTAAGTATGCATAAAAAGTATAAAATATGACACCAACTAACTAAAGTCATAGGCACCTACCAGTGCAAGATTTTCTCAGACTTTTAGTTTCAGGTAGAATAGGATCAGACTCTTACCAGGTTACATACTGTCATGTGATACCCTCCTGAAAAGTGCAAGTCGCTCAGCCCTGTCCAACTCTTTGGGAGCCCACGGATTATACAGAATAATGGAGTAGGTAGCCTTTCCCTTCTCCAGGGGATCATCCCAACCCAGGGATCAAACCCAGGTCTCCCACCCTGCAGGCAGATTCTTTACCAGCTGAGCCACAAGGGAAGCCCAAGAATACTGGAGTGGGTAGCCTATCCCTTCTCCAGCGGATCTTCCCGACCCAGGGATCGAATCGGGTTCTCCTGCATTGCAGGTGGATTCTTTACCAACTGAGCTATCAAGGAAGCCCTGATACCCTCCCGCCTCTCTTCAAATATAGATTATTGAAGTCTAAATTAGTGCTTGTCAGTTCTTTCTAGACTAAAAGGGTATAATTTGGAGCACGGGTAGTGGTCATGGGAGCATTAATAGAGGGTTAGTTCTATCACCTGTACCTGAGGCTGGCAAACTATAGCATGTGAGTCCAATGAGGTTTTATTAGAACACAGCCCACCCATCTGTTTAAGATTGTTCATGGTGGCTTTTGTGTTGTAGTATACAAAGTTACATGAAGTAGTTGCAACAGAGAGCATATGGCCCACAAAGCCAAACATATTTACTGTCTGACCTTTTGTTGATCCCTGATCCCTTTCTGTTTTCCCCATAGCATATCAACAGGCACCTAAAATAATGGACCTGGGCCAGCCTCATGGGTTTGCAACCTGCACAGTTACACTGGGCCTCATGCTTGATTTAATGTTCTACTGTGTCATCTTAAAATTCTTAATAATTTTTTTTTAGCAAGGAGGCCACATTTTCATTTTGTACTAGGCCCCACTGTCACATCACTGGTTCTGGAAGAAGCAAGATAGGGTTGGGAGTTGTGCTAAATTCAACTAACCAGTCATCAGTACTGATGCAACCTGGATCTCTCACTTCTGCTTTTGCCTCCAATGTTATTTCTACTTAATTTTCTTGCAAAGTTCTCTTAATCAGAGCTCTCTCTTTATCCAAGCTCTCTGTCCTAAGCTTTGCTGATGATCTGTGAATAACTTGACATTGTAATTTAAAGAAGAGCATGACACGGATGCCATCCTTACTTCAGTGGAGAGATCTATATCCTATGGAGGGCACTCAGTGGCAGCATCTTTGGCAGTAACAAAAAGACTCCATAAAACATGACAGTCAAACTATTTCACAGTAGCAGTTGGATGCAATAAAACCAGAGCATCATGGAAATATGTACTTTTGCTTAGTATCTGTGTGGATTTTTAAAAATTATGATATTACAGACCTTCTTTTATATGAAGCAATACTTCAAAGATTTTCCTCTTTTTAAGTAGATAAGATTAAAATTTTAACGTCATATCATAGTATGCACTTGTCTCTGGGATAGCAAACAAGGTAGTATGGTTAATATCTTACCATTGAAATTGGATGTAAAACAGAAGACATCGTATCTGCTTTTATCTTTGTCCCAAAACCCATAGTTCCTGACACCAGGCACTGTGTTCTGGCCTCCACAGGGTTCTCTGGGTTTTGTGATGGGATATTGCACAGACCCATCACTGAGCCAGCCAGCATTGCACCAGTCCAGCCCACTCCGCCAGGCATCATACAGCTGATCAAAGGAGGCAATCACAGCATCCTGGTCCAGACAAGCCTGCTGTGCCTCATGAAAATTCAGATTGTAGCGCCCCAGTCGTGGAAAATAAGGGAATACTACACCTGTCCAAAGGAGAAAGCAAGGACTCATTAGTGGCACAAATAGTAAGAACTATAAGCAAACCCCACTTGGGTGGGGAAAACAGAATCATCATCAGATGAAGTAGCAGCTTTTTGTTGTTTGCAGTGTTTTCTAATGGTCCCATTTCCCTTCAAATAGCTTCTCAACTCTGAGCATTTCACAATGAGCTATTTGATCTGGTAACTTCAGTGATTTACCTGTTTTGCTAAGCATTCAACTCAAGCCTCACAATTCTCCTTTCTGAAATGATTCATCTGCAAATTATAGTTTTCAAGTTGCCCTCCCTGTGAACTTACCTTTTGCATATCTAACAAAAACCTAATTAAGCAGTCATTTCATAGTAATAGGGTAATTTTATACAGTAAGGCACTTCCATAAAAAGCATCCTGGCTCTCCTATTCATTTGTCTCAGCTTTTACTGTAGCTTAACTTAATCTTATTTTTTTCTCTCCTTGAACAATATGACTAAAATAAAAGCTTTAATTTTTAAATATTTCTATTACTATTTTTCAGCTCCATATTCATACATTGCAAACTGAAACTAAGCTTTTCTAAACATTGATATTGCAAATAGAAAACAAAAGCCTTTAGAAGTTTGTCCTATACAAGGTAGGTACAATTTAGATATCTGCCAAAAGGACTGCCAAAGAATTAAATATTTTAGAGGACAAAACCCCTTAGTAAATGTAAGCACTTGGTGAAGATTTGGCACTTGACTTTGCCTGGGAATATGCAACAGTTTTCCAAAGGATTTCTTTAGGTTGGTTCAAATCAGATTATTATAGGAGATGATTGAGCTGTCTCACAACTTTCTGCACAATTTCTTTAAAGAATAAGGGTTGCATCATAAAAAAGCAAAGTTGTATCATTTGTTGGACTTTATGAAAGACCACTGAGTCAAAATGTCTCCTCCATGGTTGCTAAAAGAAAATTAATTTTGCCTTGAATTTTTATTATGATGAGTAATAATTCATATTTTAGCATGTGGAATGTAAAAAACTGTCTGACTCACACAGTAATTTGGTGGATTATACCAAATGTGCTATTTTACGAGACTGCAGACCTTGTGCAAAATGGATGCACAATCTACCGATAGTGTGACCAGTTACACAGAAAATGTTTTCTTTTATCAGTTGTCCTGGAAGATTCTACAGGAAGAAATTTCAAGAGCCTAAATCAAGTCATGTCCACTGAAGGCCTCTGCACGACACATTTGTCCCTGCAGGGCAGTCCAGCTGGCACCCTCCACTAGAGGCAGAGATCCAGGAAGGCTTCCTGATCTCATCCTGCCTTCTCAGGTTCTTGGCTGAGAGATCTGTAAACTGAATTGGAGCCAAAAGTAAGGAGGAAAAGACTCTCTTGGTTGCCTTTGCCCCCTGTAGAGAAGGGGGGGTGGGGGTGTGGAAGGCCTGGAGGCGACTCCTTCTAAGAAGGGCTGTGCTCAGTCATCCAACTAAGAGCCCAGTCAGCGCTGAGAAGGAGCCACTTTAGTGTTCTCAGTCCCCTCACGCTTTGCGTCCTCTTTTCTCAGCAAGCCCAGGAATGCCAATGGAAAAGAAAATATTTCATTTTTCCAGTAGAGCTTTCCTTGGCAGCTAGACCTTAAGTGAGAGAAAATCTCAATGTATACGAACCTAAATTTAGGTTGAATTCCCCCTATTTCCCAAATAGCTCAAGATGGTAACAGTGGAGAAAGCAGGCTATTTTAATTTGTAATAGTTTTAAAGATCTAGGCAACCTCTCAAGTTTTAATTCACCAGACTGATTTGGTGAACTCCCATAGGCATTGGGGAAATTTTTTCTGTAGTCATTTGTCCTTGATTAACCATTGAATTATGTTTGATTTAGTTCCAAAAACAGTGTAATATATTTTTGAGTTCCTTTTACATTTAACATAATTTCATGCAATCATTTCTCAAAGTCAAAGTGTAACCCTATATTAAAATTTCACTCTTTTTCAATGGTAAGAGTAAATGGTCAACTTATAGTAACTCAAAAAATTTACTTAGCAGATTTTAATCAATATTTGATGCTGGAAAGAACAAATTCTGAGTAAATCAAGGTCAATTTCCACATCCTCATCAACATTTTAAAAGTTTCACTTTATTGTACACATTTCAACAATCAGATGTTTTGTACAAATGGGGGCATTTCTGGAACATGTTTGTTAGTATTTTATTTATTTACTTGTTTTACTTCCAGCTAGTTAAGATTTCAACATCTAAGACTATAACTGCAGAAACTTTCTTGGCTCTGTGGAAAAATGTGCAATTCCTACAGTTGAATTATGGAGCAAATGGTGATTACTTTCATCCAGCATTACAAAAATAAGAAAAGTTAAACTTTCATGAGTGAGAAAGAAAGGTATATGATTATTTTCCAAGTATGATTATTTTATACTTATATGTCAAAATATAATCAAAAGCTCTTTACTTTTCTCTGAAAGGCTGGTATGCATTACTACAAAGGGGATTAATGAGAAATATCCGTCACATGGAAAAGGATAATATCAAGTGATGTGAGTAGTTTAGTGAATTGAAATATGTTTTAAAAGCACATTCTTTAAGACTTATAATTGCACAGTCCAGTTCATCTTAGTTGTTGGCAAATATCAATTTGTTGGATATGTGAAAGGTTTTCATGCCATGGTGCATATTAAAGCTAAAGGAAATTTCAGTAACTCCATAAAGAAAATATTTTTAATAATAAAAAGGTAGAGGCCATGCAGAACAATTTTATTTTCCACAGTACCTCTCAGAATGCCTTTCAGTATTACATACATATATGAAATTAGCTTTCTATTTCTAAAAGTTCTCAGACCATATTTTCGTGAATTGGCCCTATTTTCATCAGTGGAAGACCAATACAGTGGGAGATTGGAAGTACAAATATGTTTCTCATATCATTATCTATATATTTATCAATTACTCAAATGAATTCTGTAGGCCAAGCTACTCATGAATTTCTGGTGACACTCTCCTTGTTATATAAGGCTTATCTCTTGCTGGATGTTGTTTCTAGCAGTGTGGGTAATTTGGTAGTAATCACAGGGCTTTACCCTATCTAAGATTCTATATGAAAAAAAAATATGTTTCCACAGCTAATTCCAACTCATATGTAGGTCAGTGTTTCAAACGGGTTTACTTTAAAAAAAAAAAATCAGTGTGATTTGAAAAACAGACTTTAAAATACAACTAAGAGCAGGCATTATACTGAGTACTCTAGGATATCTTGAGTTTGGGGTGTAGTGTCTTTCTGCAAAGAATCTATGATTGTGTGTATACACACACACACACACACACACACACACAAGTCTATTCTGACTCCAAGACAGAATAGAATCTTATAAATACAAACCATACAATTTTGGCATCTTGAAATAGAATGATTTTTTTCTAATTGGGAAAATTCTTTGAGCGACATAGCATTTAATCTGGTATTAAAGGGCCAATATGATTAAAGACATTGTACAATTACAGTTGGAAAGGCAGCTTAATTATGACATTTAAAATGATACACTTCCCTGGTCTTATTTATGCATGTTAGAAGATTGACAAGGAGCTTAAGCAGAATTTGCCTGATTGGGTGATGACCCTATGTAAGGATGTAACTGATAGTGAAAAAAAGTCAGAACCTGGAATAAGAGCTAATAAATGATAACCACAAGGTATCACTTCTGCTGCATGTGGTTTACCATAGCCTTTCAATTCTTCTGTATATAATTGCTGCACTGTGAGCATCTACCTAAGACTAGGTGGAAATTGTCAAGTCCCTCATAGTGTCTGTCCTTAGTTAGCAATCATGGTTCCTCAGATTTTATTCTATGATGGCACTGTGGCTATCGTTAAAATTTTTGTAGTTTTATTTTAAAATGAAGTCTTATCTCAAGTTGAAATATATAGATAAAATAATATCCTGGATTTTTCTTGAAAATTATTCAGTGGGAGTAGATAAAGCAGGCTAAAGTAAGATTGGCTATCTGATGACACTTTTTGAAGCTGGATGATTATATATAGAGGCATGTTATACTATTCATCATAGTCTTTCTCATTTTTCAAACATTTGAAATTGGTGATAATGAAAAGTTAAAAAATTTTATCCCACCCTATAGCCATGCTGAACCTTAAATCAGTCAAACTGGATGCTAACTACCTGTGGCATCTGTTACTCACATTTTGGCCTTTGAAGAGTTTCTCTTTCAACCTGTGATGTTCTCTTCCCCATTTTGTCATGCTTTCTATGCTATGAAGGTACCAGGTTCACCTCTCACGGTCCATATCAAGTGTCTCTTCCTTTAGAGTGCTTTCCATTGCATGGCCCTTTCTTTGCATGCGCTTTTTTGTATTGAAAGTATAAACCCATTATATCAAACATTCACTCACTTATAAACTATTTACTGGAAAAGGGAATGGCAAACCAGTTCAGTATTCTTGCCTTGAGAACCCCATGAACAATATGAAAAGGCAAAAAGATATGACACTGAAAGATGAACTCCCCAGGTCAATAGGTGCCCAATATGCCTCTGGAGAAGAATGGAGAAACAACTCCAGAAAGAATGAAGAAATGGAGCCAGAGTGAAAACAGTGCCCAGTTGCGGATGTGACTGATGACAAGTAAAGTCCGATGCTGTAAAGAGCAATATTGCATAGGAACCTGGAATCTTAGGTCCTTGAATCAAGGTAAATTGGAAGTGGTCAAACAGGAGATGGCAAGAGTGAACATTGACATTTTAGGAATCAGTGAACTAAAATGGACTGGAATGGGTGAATTTAACTCAGATGACCATTATATTCCATTTAGCAGGTGGAAAGTGAAGTTGGACAAGTTTGCAAATATTTACCAAAAAAATGTGATTAGCGTTACAGTAGAAATCTGTAGTCTGAGAACATCATAGCTGGGGGTGGAGGGGATAGGGCTCAGGGTAGCATTGGTCTTTGATCTTATTTTTGAAGGATTGTATTGTCTGTAGTTGTTCAGAAATGGATTCATATAGATAATGTTAAATGTGGAACTGTCAGTCACTTCAAGGCAGATCTTCTGGTTAATGACTGTTTCTACTCTTGCTATAGTACAGAAGAGGATGGAAGAACACTCTGCAATGAAGAGGATTTAGCAGCTGTAATAGACACACACACCAATTAATGCAGCATGACTAAAAGATAGTCCCTTGATCATCTCCCAAATAACTCTGGGGCCTTTAAGAATCTTTAGAAAGCTTCAGAAGAACTGAGGCTGCCAAACACCAGTGCCTTTCTGGAACCGCTATTCTTTTACCCCCAAAAAAACTTTCTCCTTACTGCAAACCCCCAGATCATAGTAGATAAAAGCAATGACTTCATTGAGTGCCCTTGGACTCAAATCTAGTCCTAGCTCTTACTCCTAACCATGTTACGTTTGGAAAGTTTTCCCTAAGTTTCAGCTGTCCAGGGGTATTACTGAAAGTGAGCAAAATAACTATGCATATGATTAGAGCAATTTGTTTGTACCCACGTACTTTAACAAGTTCCACCTTATTTTAAAGTACTTACTTTTGAAAGTACCTTAGAATCTTTAATGGACTATAAAATTGTGGAATGAAAGGAACCATGTTTTAGAATTTTTTGTTTCTCATGGTACAACAACTTTAAAAAATATTTATCAATTAAATTGGTTTCTTGGGCACATTTACTTAGCTCATATGCATATAAGTTATATGGTAAAGAAGTATCCTGAAAGCATGGAAAACATGGAGATTTGGGAAGGTGCAGGGCTTGTAAAGGAAAAATTACTCTTCTTACAAATCCCCTTCAACATATCTAAGTGTGTCTTAAAGGAAGTCTCAGTTTGACTATTGAGTGTATTATCCTCTAAAATGTGCTAAATTTCCTTTTCAAAGAGACAGCAGGCTTCATACTCAAAGCCATCGTCAAGCAGTTATAATTTAGAAAGACCTTATATTCATTGTACTTATTTTTCTGGTTTCCTTCTATTTCTGGCAAATTATATTGTTTTCTATTTATTTAAAGTGTATTGTTAAGTAAGTATAAGGGGATAACAAATATGGCATATGAGTTACTTAAGTTTGGGAAATACTGTGGTATATAAACATGGACTTTAAGAAGAAAAACTAACAATTGATAATATAGTTCAAGCTATTGTTCATAGATTGGAAGCCAATGTCCAATACGGATAAGTAACTTGATTTGGTTGCAAAACATATACTGACCAAACTGGGACTAACATAAGCATCTTAGTCCTCCTACTTTCTATTGCCTGATGCCCCTTTGATACCAGAAAGTGACCCTCAATTAATATTTGATGATTACTGTCTTCTCTAAGCCAACTACTTCTTTCATCTTTAATAATGCTAGTGTTCATGGATAGTAAAGTGAATCAATAAACACTCTAAGTATAAGGTGGTGTGCAATCAGGAGCCAAGAACCACAGATAAGAAAAGGTCACGAAAATGCACATTACAACATCAAGCAATGTATCAGACACACAAAGCTGATAATCTGTACGCATGTAATGGTATTCTATCGGATTCAGAAGGTTGCATCTTCAGTGGTATGCTAGTGGACAAAATAGATATTTTTCCAAAAGCCACAAATCTGTCCCAGAATGTAAAAGGAACTTATAGCAAACACATACCTATGGTTTACATAAGGAAGGACTATTCCATTAATGCAGTCCAAATTTGTTCTCTCATGTAAAGAAATGCTCAAATTCATGAATGAAGAGTGTCTAGAGGTATATCATCAACCAAGGGGAAGCGTAGAGGGCTTTGGTAGAGGCAAGACAAGATGGCACATTTTATTGTTTAGCTTTGTATACATTTTGGTCTTTGAACCTACTCAGAGTGTTGAGAGTGTTAATTGCTTAGTCATGCCTGACTGTTTGTGACCCCATGGATTGTAGCCTGCCAGACTCCACTGTCCATGGGATTCTCCAGGCAAGAATACTGGACTGGGTTGCCATTCCCTTCTCCAGGGGATCTCCCTACCCAGGGATCAAACCTGGGTCTCCTGCATTGCAGGCAGATTCTTTACTCTCTGAACCACCAGGGAAGCTGAACCTACTGAAAGTATTGCATATTTAAGAAATAAAACTTCCTCCAAAATGCCTTGACCATTTGCTATTCAGTGTCTAGGAGACTCTGGACCATTAAAAAATTTACTTCTTTCCAAGAATATTTAAATAAATCTAGAGGTTACTTTTTGTTAAATTAAGTTTTCACAGTTATTTTACAGAATATAACTAAATTTATTTTAGTTAGCAGATGTCCTTCACAAACTTGCCATTATTTTGAAACTGAGACAATTTTAGAAGCATAATAAAAAGCCTCCACTCTCCATTTCTTAATAACTATGTAATGAGATTTAAATTTTGAATGGCATAAGGCAGTTCCTGAATAATGTTAATTCAGTTACATTGCATATTTCTTCTACTTGCAAATAGCTTCAATTTTGCATATAACCATTGTGTATAAATTTCAAATATGAAAGCTTGAATTGTAGACAGACTGCAAATTACAGTAAAACATGCTTTACATGGACTTTTGGTTTCTCACATCAGCACTGGGGTAACCACTGGACATTACTTGTCATGAAAAAAAAGCAATGATTAATTATCATTCCTAAGTTTAACACAATACTTACCTTGTAAATCTAATGCTACCACAGCAGTGTCATCTTCTAATCCTTCAATCACCTCACACTTATATCTCCCATAATCCTCTAGAGTAAGGTCTGTGATCACCAGAGAAGCATCATTATCACTCCCTCCTTTCAGAAACACTCTACCATGGTAGCCTCCATATGTTTTCTTGTGGTATCCCATGGAAACAAAGACATCCACTTCCTTGAGGTAATCTGAAGTTAGCTTGGTCCACTTAATCCGGATTTTGTGGGTTCCTGAGCCAAATGCTGTAGGGTCTCGGTAAAATTTACATGGCAGTGTAACATTGCCACCTCTGTGTGAGAACACCTTGGCTTGTTCTGCTTCCACCAGTAGACGGGGGCCATTTTCTGCTGTAATTGAAAAAAAGAGAGAAAATTAATATGCTTTTAGACTTTTATAATATTAAATATACTACCTATAGAGGGTATCTGGTGAAGAGTAGCATTGAAGATAAGCTTCTCTGCCTTGTTGAGCAGTGACCTCCTTTAAATTACAGAGAAAGGTACCTCTAGTACCTAGTGGGGTTCTATAAGATAGTCATGTCATTTAAGCCACTGAAGAAAGGGAAAGTTGTACATGACAATCAATGAGAAATACTGGCTCTAAGATTCTATAGTCATCTGAAGTTTGAGGATGTCATCATAAATTCCTTTTTTCTTCTATATTTAAATATAAAAATGTAGAAATAAGACTAAGAGAAGTGATGGGGAACCGTAATTATTTCATCTATATAAACCCAAAAATTCAAATTGGATAAATTGATCTTTCCTCAGCTGAACTTTCTAATACAATAAGCCTTTATTGTATTTAGGGAAAAGTTTATGGCAACAGATTAATGTTCATTGAACTGTTCTGGCCAAAGAACTTAGAATGTTCTACCATCTCTGCCTTCAGATATATATCTGTGATATGCCATTCTGGCGCATTTCAAGCAACATTTATGTATTTTATTTTCACACAAAGTCTAGACCTCAGAAAGGCATTTTTAGTGGATGTTTTTAAAAAGACTCCAGATTTTAAAATATATTTCTCAAACTTTGAATGGTAAAAGTGTATCAAAAGTTGTATTTCTTTTCTAATTAACCAGATAGTTGTTTGTTTCTTTATTCCTTTAAATCTCCTTCTACTGTGCCTCTGCTTTTTCTGTGCCTTGGTTTACAGAATCTTCTCACTTCACTTCTGCCTTGACTTGCCCTTTAGCTTCCTTCCTTCAAGGACTTTATTGCCTTCCCAAGAGCACCGCGATATTCCCAGCCTGCCAAATCAAACAGGGCTGCCAGGCTCTGGATAGCCAGTTGTTATTTTCAGATCTTGGCTTTCTCTGGGGTTCCCCCTGTTTCGCTCATTGTGCTTTTGACCTTGATGAGCTCTCTTGAGAATATGCAAGCTTTGAAAATGAGAAAGCGCTATAAGAACTCCTGGATGCACATACCCTCTCATCTACACACAGCTTTCAAAGGCTGCCAAAGCTGCCTTTTAGGCAGTCTTTTCTTCTTTAAGCTCGAGGTTCTGAATCAACCTTGGTCATGAATCGTTAGTCGTATACAGGTCATCAGGCAAAGTAATTGGTCATCTCCAGACAGATCTCAAAACTTAGTTATTTAATGGCATATGTAACTTTCAGATTTTAAAATAAAATGTCCAAGAATAGACACACTGATTCCATTTTTATTGTAAAGCAATCAAGATATTAAAAAATAAGCATATTTAATTTGTGTCAGCTCTAATCTTCAGAAACGGAATAGTTTAACCACTTTTAAAGCCATCAGTGCCCTACTTTGAATAGTTTTTAAAAAATGAAAGAATAGTGGCTTAATTATCCAGCTTAAAAAATCCTGGCTTAAAAAATCCAGCTCATTAAGCATTTCCTTTGATTCTCTTCGTCTTCTTATTTAGGCCCACAGATGCATAAGACATACAGGTGAATCTATTCAGCTCTACTGTATGTATGATATTCCACCTGCAATATCCTCAATGACCACATCCATGTTCTACTTAAATATTTCTAGTGTCTTCTTTCTGGGAGGAGGAAAAAGTGCTGTTTAGTAAGTTGCTCAGCCATGTCTGAGGCTCTACATGGATCTACCCAGTACCTTGGGAGGACACCTGGAGCTGGGTCTTTCAATGATGGGACTTGAGACATGACATGGAAGCGAAGTGAAAGTGAAAGTCGCTCAGTCGTGTCTGACTCTTTGAGACCCCATGGACTATACAGTCTATGGAGTTCTCCAGGCCAGAATAACGGAGTGGGTAGCCTTTCCCTTCTCCAGGAGCTCTTTCCAACCCAGGGGTTGAACCCAGGTCTCCCACATTGCGGGTGGATTCTTTACCAGCTGGGCCACAAGGGAAGCCCATATAAGACCTTCAAAAAGTTGAAGTTTCCTGATTCTCTCAAGTTTTTTTTTTTTAATCTTTTATCTTATATTGGAGCATAATTGATTAACAATGTTATGATAGTTTCAGGTATACAGCAAAGGAATTCAGTTATACATATACATGGATCTGTTCTTTTTCAAATTCTTTCCCTATTGAGATGGTTACTTAATATCAAGCAGAGTTTCCTGTGCTATAAAGTAGATCTTTACTGGCTATCCATTTTAAATATAGCAGTGTGTATATGTCAATCCCAAATTCCCTAACTATCCCTCTTCCCTACCCTTCCACCATAAGTTCATTCTCTAAGTCTGTGAGTTTGTCTCTGTTTTGTAATTAAGTTCATTTGTATCATTTCTTTTTAGATTCTGTATAGGTGATATCATAAGGATAGTTCTGTTTGTCTTACTGTCTCACTAATGACAATCTCTAGGTCCTTCCATTTTGCTTCAAATGGCATAATTTCATTCTTTTGAATGACTGAGTAATATCCCATTGTGTATCTATATACCACATCTTCTTTATGCATTCCTCTATTGTTGGGTATTTAGGTTGTTTCCATTGCTTAGCCCTTGTAACAGTGCTTCATTTATTGTTTGTGGATTTTTTGATGGTAGCCATTTTGACTGGTGTGAGGTGACATCTCATTGTAATTTTGATTTTCATTTCTGTAATAATTACCAATGTTGGACATATTTTCAAGTGCCTCTTGTCCATCTTTATGTCTTATTCGGAGAAATATCTGTTTAGGTCTTCTGCCCATTTTTTTTGATTGGATTGTTGATTCTCTCATGCTTTTTACTTTAAAGTCAAAGCTAATGCCCAAATGGATTGGGTTAAGGGGGTGTTACAGTAGTTAGGAACAAGGGCTTTGATGTATCAGAGACCTTGTTTTAACCTCACCTTTTCAGGTTTCTAGCTGTCTAGCTTTGAGCAAGGGGTATAACCCCTAAGCCTCAATTTCTTTATATGTGAATTAGAGATAGTAATATCTACTATGTATAGTTGACATAAGAGACACTGAAAGCACTTAAAATAATAGCTGACCAAGGTGTTACTCTGCATCGTTTTTCCACTATATTTTTCCAGTATGATACTGCCTGATGTTGCATACAATTCTGACATACATTAACCTTCCATGTTTCCATTATTTACTCCATGTGGAGTAAAAAAATACATACAAAGCCACCTGTGTTATATAGGAAACTTGGAAATTATTGTGTGGTTTAGCATAATCATAAGGTATTCCAGAATGAATACAAGGCCTGAGTGTTTTATAAATTAAAGAGTTAAAGCACAGATCAAAAGTCTTGTCTAAGGGACTGAAACTTCTAATTTTTTTCTGAGGTTAACTATAAATCATCTTGTAGTGTTTTAGAAGTATAAACTTCTGATTTTTTTAAAGTACTATTTACTTATACTCTAGCATTGTGAGTAGATGATGACTTATGTGGTAGAATGGTGAGAACTAAGCAGACACCAAAAATCCATTGGCTTCCCACAAAATAATTTTTCTAACAAGACTGCTAGAATGTATAAATTTCTACCATTCTTATTTTTTGGACAGCTGGGGTGTTGAGGTAATAGATGCCAGAAGCCCTGGCTGAAATTCAAAAAACCCTATGAAAAATATGTAATGTATAACACGTTGAGTGACTGAAGGCCATTAATGTTCATTAACCTAGATCCCCAACATGACCTTTAGAACAATGCATTTTATTAGTTTGCTTGCTTTTAGAGGCTCAACACTGCAGATTATAAAGCATTGAACACTGCTGGTGGGAGTGGCCTATTGCAGAGCAGGTAAGATGTAGGAAAGAGCTCTGGCCATTGAGTCAGGGTTCTGTTGCAGGCTCTGGTAGGGCTTAACTGTTTGAGTGACAGGCTTATGTCATGACTTATGTCATGAGCCCATTGAGCTTTAGATTTGTATCCAGCTGCCTTTGGCAGGTTGTCATGACAGGGATCAGCCAGGAAACACACTAAGCCGGAGATGGGGAGGGCAGGAACAAAGGGAACCTATAATGCTGAAGACAAACTTTGCACAGTCGTGCCTAGAGTAAGTTTTGAATCTCATCCTTGGATTCAAAAACGTGAACTAGTTTGAAATTAATGTTTAAATCCAAACTATTCAATCAACAGGGCACTTGAAAAGCAAATCAAATGCAAAAGATAAAAATAAACCTTGATCATCAGAATGAGTTTTGCTTATCCCTTAAAATTTTTCTTTAATTAGAAAAACCTAAGCAGCATATATGTGCTCATTTTAGGGACACTGAAGTTTTAAAAAAGTCTATCTGTAAGTTACAGGAATTTCACATTTTTATTAGTGAGTGTCAATGGCATTGACTTGAAAAGATTTGATGACCTTCAAGACCACAGTTGTCTCCAGGGGAAACAGCAGGGCTTCATTATTATTTTATGAATTCTGCTGTGAAGTCTAGAGGACATCATTCAATTTCACCAAATTATGAAAGCAATGGCATGACTGAACAACTGATCTCTGTGTCACTCTGTAATTTAGAGGAAATCTTTTAAACAATAGGACAAAAACAAATAGTTGCAGAAAAACAGTTTAGAAATATGGTAGGGGAATATTACCTATTGTTCTTAGTTCTATTAAAAGTGGAATCATGGCGGGGGGCAGTTCATTGCTAAGGAAATAGAAATAATAGAAAAGAAAAGGTGCTATGAGTCTGAGTTGGCCTTTTAAAAATAAATAACTTTTGGATTTTACAAAACAACCAGTCTTGGTATTGGTTACTTTCTCACTGGTGTATAATGAAGGAGCCTCCAAACTTTTAGATATTCTAGACCAATAAAATGTAAAAAGAATCCAAACAGACAAAATGGAGGAATATATTTAAGATGGCTAAACAAGAACAAAAAAACATTCCCAAGGAAAAATTCTACCACTATCATTTGATTTTTTATTTTTTACATATAACATAAAATTTGCCATTTTAACCATCATTAA